CACCGATCGCGTCTGGCAGTCGTTCATGGCACGCGCCTCAAGCCGTTTCATGAACGTTAGTGAACTGAGTGTATTTTGTTGTTGGTGTTGTTATTGCTGTATCGTACATATTATTTGTAGTTTCTTACGTTACCATTACACTTTAATCTTCTGTCAAAACATCAGGACGATGCCTTTTTCAGAGGGGGCCAATGCGACGTTCGTTTCCTCAAGCTTTGTTATGACCCCGTTACATTATGTTCTGTGCAAACCGTGACTACGATTGATGGTCAAAAAGCTTAGAGGCTGTAGTGGATCGTTTTATTAGGATTACATCGACTTCGCGAACAATAGAGATTGTTCTGGAACCTAGGGTGCCGCTAGCGATAACGCTAGAACAATCCATGGCAAGTGTATAAACGCCGACGTGCTTCCCCGCTTGTCAGTTCATGGACGGTCGACGCTCTGCTCGCCGCTATCAGTGCCAGTGTCTTGCTGTAATCTAACTCTCCTTTTGCGCGGCTGCGAGTTAGGCTCGAATAAACAGTTTATTATACGACCATCCAGTCTCCTTCCTTCAGCCATGTCATGACTCCGTGACAATCTATACACTGTTGCATGGGGGCGTAGACGTTGAATTATATATGCAGGGTTTCACGTCCCAAAACCACCATGTGATTATGAGAGACGCCGTAGGGAAGGGCTCTGGAAATTTCGACACATGTGGTTCTTTAACGTGTACCCGAATCTGAGCAAACGGGTTCACAAGCTCTATCAGAAATGCAGCCGCCGCAGCCGCTATTCGATACCTCGAAGGGTGTAGGCGTATTCATCAGCTACCATCAATGTTATAATGTGGGTACGGTAACCTTTATGATCATTATAGTAACAGGTGCAGGCCACCTGCTGAAAAAATGCTTAGGTAGAACTGCTTTGATGCGATCACGATTGTGAAGCATCAAACGTCTAAGTTGGGTGAGAATGGCGGACATTTAGTTTGGTAGTTTGGCTGTTATATCTTTTGAAGTTATGAGAATGGCTGCAGCGCATAGAAAGCAGAACTGGGCATTTGTTATGAACTAACGCTTTTTGTAAGGTCACCGAGCATGGCAAGGGGCTCTGGTTCGTTTATAGTTGAGCGTGCACCGCTCCGTTTTTACGACCCGTGACGTAAAAGAAAGCAGGACAAAAAAATAAACCACGCTTCTTTAGGTAAACTCCAAAGCCCTCTCATCTCTCCGAACCAGGTCAGCGCAAAAGATGTGTGGGGCTTCAGGGTACTGGCCTATATACAGGCCCGAAACCATGCAGAAAGAATGGGTAAAGTGGGGGGGGGGGACTATTCCTTCTCGAAATCCTCAGGAAGCAAGTTGTTTCGCCAACAATCAATTACGAAAAAGGGAGTTTCTCAAGGCTTTCAGCATGTACTACCCCCACCCACAAACATTCCTGGCTGTGGGCGACCTATACAGATGAAGGAATACCGACTAGTCATACTGCAACGAGCAAAAAGTGGATGCTGTAGAAAAGCCACTAAGAAAAAATGGGCAGATCCCCCGTACTGTGGAAATCGATGATATGAGAAGCACGAATGAAAAATGTTGATATGTCACTTTAAAATAAACACAGTGTTACGGGGTGGAGGTAAACCATACATGACTTACAGGTCATGATTAGCATATTTGCAAGTGTATTCAACCTTCGTCATCTATTCGCGTCACGCCATACCAAATTTAGCAAATATGGAGCTAGCGAAACGACCGCGAGAACTCTATGAGCGTGGTATGTTGTCATGTTCTTACATGACATGCGGGTCAGAATTATCATGTCTGCACCAGTCATATACTCTCGTCATCCATTGACGTCACGTAACACCGAATTCCGTAAATGTAGAGCTGGCCAAATGGCCGCGAACGCATCATGAAGGGCCCAATTTTACTCCGATGTAGCTTCGAAATGCGTGCACGCTGCACAAAGCGACGATACGTTAGCAAAACCCGAGCACTCTATAGTGTGATGCCATGAGCGACCAGTGTCCGTCGGCGTGGCCCGATGGCAACCAGCGTGAAATGAGACATGCTGCATTTCACGCGGATGCGTTCCCTAGACAACACTGCATCTCCATATTTTCCTTACGGAGGGACGCCGGAAACACTAAAGAGCGCATACGTCAAAGAAACGCAGCGCGGCGCACGCCTGTGAGTATGTGGCAGGACCGGCACATGGCGTGGCAACGCTGGCGTGACACGAAGAAATGAACGCCGGCGAGCATGCGCACTGCGTCACGTCGAAATGTATTGGCGCCTTGACTGTGGTGTGTAGTTATGTTCTCACATGACACGCATCTCATAATTATCATGTTTGCACTAGTCACATACATTTGTCATCCATTGGCATCACGTAATACCAAACGCCCGCAAGCGCATCATGAATGTGTCATATTGTCATGTTGTTACATGACACGCATGTTGTGATATTATTGTTTGCGTATGTGATTTACCTATGTCGTTCGTTTGCTTCGCATAAAAGCGAGTTTGGTACATGTGAAGCTAGCGAAATGGCCGTGAGCGCATCATGAGCGTAGTATGTAGTCATGTTGTTACATGAAACGCATCTCTTGTTTATCATATTCGCACCAGTATCATACCTTCGCCATCTGTTAACGTCCCGTACTACCAAATTTGACATAAGTGAAGCCAGCGAAATGGCCACGAGCGCATTATGAGGGTGGTATGTAATCATCCTGTTACATGACACGCATCTCATGAATATCAGGTTTGCACCCGTCACATACCTGCCTCATTCATTAACGTACCGTGATACCAAATTTGGTATATGTGACGCTAGCAAAACAGCCGCGAGTGCATCATGAGCCTGGCATAGAGTCATGTTGTTTCATGACTTGCATGTCATGATTTTCATGTTAAAATCTGTCACTTGTATTCGCCATGCAATCATATCATGCCATACTAGTTTTGCAACATAATATGTGAACGAAATCATCAGAAAAGCTGCAAGACAATGAAATGTAAATCATGACATTCATGTAATAACACATGTCATAACTATCATGTAATGACTAGACGAACATGTTCTTCATACAACCATGCTTTGGCATACCGATTTTGGTATCGATACCATCATCGAAACAGCCAGGAGAGCTGAAAGTCGTAGGCGGATAGATAATAGATAGATAGATAGCTAGATAGATAGATAGATAGATAGATAGATAGATAGATAGATACGCTGAAAGTCGTCGAAGTTCGCAAAGAAATGTTTCCCATTTAAAAAGCGATCAGTAAATACCAAATGTTCAGTAACAGTACATTTCAGCGCATCTATTCCTGTTTTGCTACAGGTGAGGCAAATAATTCCACACCATCCCGTATGCGTTTCTCGCCTATTGCGATGGTTTTTTTTTGCGTTTGTTTTGCGCTGCTTGCTTAAACACCGCTTCCCCTCCATGTCCTTGCTTCCATGGCTCCTTTCTAAGGCTTCCTAATAACATTATTTTAGCTGTCACTCTCAGCTGCATTCCTTATTTAGTGTTCATTATCATATTTTGGGGTGCAAATTGCTTCCTTCGTCATTCCACTATTTGCGATAACAATCCTAATGACTCCGCGAAACCGACAGAACTAGCGCTGAAGGACCGTGGACGGCGGGGGTTTTACACGGGGCTACATATAGATATGATTCATCACACACAAAACAGCAAAGCCGCTGTGATACCTATGCCTAATATAATCACCTTCATTAACTTTCTTTTCGAGAATTACTTGGCGTAGTGCAAGCACCTTGAGCATCTATCTATCTATCTATCTATCTATCTATCTATCTATCTATCTATCTATCTATCTATCTATCTATCTATCTATCTATCTATCTATCTATCTATCTATCTATCTATCTATCTATCTATCTATCTATCTATCTGTCTGTCTGTCTGTCTGTCTGTCTGTCTGTCTGTCTGTCTGTCTGTCTGTCTATCTATCTATCTATCTATCTATCTATCTATCTATCTATCTATCTATCTATCCTCTGCTTACGTCAGGGTGCTTTCGTAATCGTTTGGGTGCACATTGAAGAACCCCAGGTGGTCAAAACTTCCGGAGCCCTCCACTACGGCGTCTCTCATAATCATATGGCCGTTCTGGGACGTTAAACTCCCCATATAAATCATCATCATCAGTTTTCGTGATCATTCCATCAACTTTTCAGATTGACCCTAATGTTTGCGACAAGCCAATTTTGGTTGCAATGCTGCCTATCGGATTTCAAAAATATTATATGTTTATTCCTGTGATACAGCCGTCACGTTAGGTTAAAGTCAATTTCAGTTAGATGCCGTATACGTTGAAGCTGATTATTGTAGCAGCATGCATGTATACCTTTCTTGCGAGCTAAAGCGCTTTGTATCACCTTGTGGTTTCTGGTGTTGCTAATACTCATGTCACTGTTGGCATCGTTGCGCATCTGCAAACAACTTGTTACAGAAACAAATGTGACTGTTCTAGTTAGGCCTTTGTGGGTAACATTTGTACGCCTAGTTTCTTTCACTTCACAACGTGTCGCTCAAAAAAATAAATAAAACACGGTCACCTTCCCTTCACATGCTTCACATAACCGCGATTCGCAAGGTACGTGGGATCTACAAAATTTTTATACTCGAAAATATACTTTAATTGATTTCTAATTGACACTCCTAGATAAACACGGCTACCTCAGTGTTCTCTTAATGATTGAGTTCATTTTTAATTTGTATGATATAAAAATAGGTTTCGGTTGTCTCAGCAACAGCTGCCGTTCTCTTATATTCGCCGTTTTTATTGCCGCCCAAGATTTGCCTTGAGTTTGAATTCTAGTGAACTACATAACAATGTTTTATCCATAACTTCTTCTTGTTGAAGTACAATAATGTACAGCTGGGTGTGCAGGATGCGTGCGCTCATGCGTCCTTTTACTCTGGCCACGTGATCTGTGAATGACGATGCCCTCAATGTAATACAATTTATTTTCAGGTGTGTGCACTACTAAAGGCTGGTGCACAGAGAGAATATGACGCCGAATCAAAGGTACCATACCTCCACGAAGAAAAACTGTGGGTGAGCTACGATGACCAAGAGAGCGTCACACTCAAGGTTAGTTGCTGGCTAGGAAGCTAACAGGCTTATTCACACCGAGGACAGCGCGGCAAGGCAGCTAAACGGGGTTTTCGAAGCGCCGAGTTAGCGAATGCGTGTAACTGTTCAGACCGCATGCATCCTTCGGCTGGCATCGCGGCAGAAGAGGTGGGCATCACTAGCTTTTGCCCATATGTCAAATCCACGTGGCAGTGCTTCTCCGAAAGGGACACCGCTACGCCTCCACCACGAAACACTCTGAATACGTACGACAAAGTGTTATGCTGCAGCGGGCGCAAAAAAAAAAAATTAGTCGGGAGCGATCGACCTTGCCCCTTGTTTTCCTCCCGCTTTCGCCGCCTGAAGAGGCGGTCTTTCCCGCTTTCCGCGTTGTCGCCTCGCCGGTTTGGCCACATCGCCTTCGGTGTGAACGAGCCATTAGCCTTCTCTCTGAGTCATGTTCATTGAACGTTTAGCTCTAAGGTTGTGTTTCACGGTTATCTTTTCATTGAGCAACCACTCATGCACAAAAGACCGATGCTCCAGAGCCCACTTGCGAAGGCTATTGAAGCAGCTAGCTAAAAATGCGTTGCGATTCATCCCTTCATTTCTCAGGGCTGCAAAAGAAACAAAACAATATGATAACATAAATCCTGCTGCGATTACTACTCGTTGATGAACGGAACTTAATTGCTCATTGTATGAACATGTTTTTGGAGGGCTTAACTTTACAGTTGTTCTGTAAGCTTTCAGATCGACTTTCGTAGAAAAAGTTCTACTACCTGCACAGCAGGCACACAACGTCATAGATGGGACAAGGCAATGAGTACATGCATGCTATAGTGAGAAATGTTTGAAGTACGCTAGGCCAGTGACGGTACCTTTTTCGAATGATACCTGAGCATGCAAGCAAGAAAAGACGATTGTAGCACTTGCAAATATGTTTTATAATGAACACATTTTGTTGGCTTCATGTTCCTTGTGTATACCTTACGATCCTTGCTTACTTACGTGCCCCGCCATGGTGGTCTAGTAGCTAAGTACTCGGCTGCTGACCCGCAGGTCGCGGGCTCAAATCCCGGCTGTGGCAGCTGCGTTTCCGATGGAGGCGGAAATGTTGTAGGCCCGTGTACTATAATTTGGGTGCACGTTAAAGTACCCCACGCGGTCAAAATTTCCGGAGCCCTCCACTACGGTGTCTCTCATAATCCTATGGTGGTTTTGAGACGTTAAATCCCATAAATCAATCAATCAATTACTTACTTACGCATTGTTTTGGGCTGATTCTTGTTCCATGAAATCAACATGGCAGAGTAGAAGACATCAAGATCCTCATTTGGATAACTAAAAAAACCGCTTTCCTATAGTTTAGTACATCTGTAGGCCACAATTTCTCATTTCCTTTTTAAACATCCATCAAAACATCAGGCACTACGCAGTCAGGTTGGTGCAAGAAATCGTAGCGTTAACGCACTCGGTCAAGCTGGCATGGGCGTTCACTATGTCGCTGTATGAGGTGTCACATCTGAGGAGTTGACCTACTCAGCCACATAAGTTGTCAAAAGTTTGCTGTAATACCTCCTTCGTATTCTGCTTGCACATGACCAACGCGTAGTGAAGGCGCATTCTAAAACACGACCTAATTGAAACACTTTCTGAAATACACGTTTTAGTAAACTATTTGGCTTGATGAGACCTACTGCTCATATCGGAAATCGACATTTCGACTGAGTTCTGTTCAACTGAGACGAAAGTTTATAAGAACCACCAACCATTTTTATGCTACCTAATTTTTGTTAGCGCCGAGGAAATCTTACGCGTCTCTGAGTCTGGTCCGGGATTGCTGAAGCAGAAAATGCCTCGAAACAATTGTGATGAGAGGTTTGCTATCTGCAACGAATATGAAGTCGCATGCTCACATGCTGCAAACAGTGAGCGCGTGGCTGGTTCGTTTACAAACACGGTGGTTTACTGCGCATGCAAGCACTGCGCGCGCATGCGCAATGGCTTGGTCCACTGGCGTTTGGTACGGCAGCACCGCTTTTCACAATGCTGCTTTTCTAACGTCGTAAGCAGTGCAGAATCGAGCGGGGCTGGATAATAATATACATACTCTAGTTTTGAGGGCTTCCACGCGCACTACAGCATCAGACTAGCGAGCACGCTCGACAAAGTGATCGACTCCATAATTCATGTTTCCAGCTTCAAGGCTGTCCTGCCAGGCTGTGCCACAAGCACGTTTTCGATAACATTAGGCATGTTATAAATATACAAATCTCGGTCCCAACGCTGAAAGAATGCTGAAAGATGTCACTATATTTCGTGCTATTATGACTGAATCGCACGTTTTGTCTAGTTGTCGGCCCTTTAAAAGAGCCTTGCAGCACTTTTTGATTATGTACAGAAAACGAAGCCAATAGGTAGTCGAGGTTTCCGAGAACACACATGCGAAATATTATACCACAGCCCAGGGCCTGGAATACACAACCAATTCTCAAATCAGCCAATTATCAAAAGTCAAACCTATTTTCAAATTTGAAATCGCTGTCTTATCTCTCGACCAATCAAGCTACAGGCTCAAAATCACTACATCCAAGGCCCAGAATTGTGAATTCGTGAGACAATAACCTGAATAAGTGAAATAACTTCATTACCACTTGAAAAAGCTTTGCAGGACCCTTTTAAGAGGCTGAAATGGCCGCAGGCAAGTTTGTAGAGAGCCCGACGTTTCGGGACTGATTCGGGCCCTTCCTGAGGACGTGGTTAACTGCTCCATTGGTCATAGAGGCATCTCCCTGTTTTGTTCGGGAATATGCGTGAAACACCTCTTTTCTTTGCATATTAGATAAAATGACTTCTAATAAACACCATATGTTCTTTCTGCGATATTTAGGATTTCCGCGTGCATAACTTCCAACAATAAATTAAGGCTGCTTCGCGTTAGCGATGACAAGCCTAAAGCAAATTTGTAGCTGGACAGCCTTCCTTTTCAACGTAAAATACACTGGCTGAGGTTCAGTAGCTTCGCATGACTTACGGTGAGTAGTTCTGCGCAAGCGCGAGGAGAAGTGACGTCACACGGCATGCAGCTTGCGTGCCGCAGAAGACCTGGAAGCTCCTACGGTGACCTGTCACCAGTGGACTAGCGCTTGATTCGCACGAGATTGATCGCTTCTTAATCCATTCGTCCGGCCGTCCGTGGATTGTCTGTCTAGTCATTCATCCGCTTTCGTCCGTCCATTCATCCCTGATTCATTCATCCGTGATTCGGCCGTCCATCCGTCCACATCTCACTGTACAATATTCTGGCATAACGGAGCTAATCTACTGCCCGTTTTTCTTTCATGTTTTTCTTTCCTCCTCTTTTTGTTTACTTTTCTGTCTTCAATATATTCCGATTGTATCTGTTTGTTTCTTCCTATTTAATTTTAGATTTCTATTTCTTTCGTGTTCTTTTTGTATTCTTCATGTTAGTCTTTTTTAAATTTTTTATTGGTGCTAGTATGCCCTACGGCAGCAGTTTAATGAAAAGGAAACGTTCTGTTTCCTGTATGAAGACCAGAAGTGGTCGATGCAATGTACCGTGCGTCCACGCGAGCCTAGTGAAGGCCCGGACAGGTTCCCAATAGGTGATCGAGTGTTGACTCTGTGGCTGGGGCAACGCAGAATCGGTATGTCATAGGGCGAGGCTGTGGACCGGATGACCATGGAACCTGGATTGCAGGAGTCAAGGCGGCGCCCACACGAATCCTCCTGAGCGCAACCTCTTCTCGGCGAGTTCAGCCATCGGGAAGGTATGATCCATGCGGAGGAATGAGTGCACGCGAGGAGCACCGGAGAGTTTTTTTGTGCACAAGCAAACTGTTCTTTGGAGACAAAAGAAGTAGAGGCAGCGGATGTTGAGCGGCCGCTCGGTAGCAAGCGGCATCTGCTTTCAATTCAGCCGGTGCAGACTAGCGATCCCACTATACGTGGACAGGACAGGCGAATGAGTGAATCAATCGGTGCATTTGCCACTCAAATGGAGATGAGAGGGCGCTGCGGAGTTGCAGCATGGCCGATTCACAGAGGTCACCACGTCCGCGGTCACTAACACAAACACTGAGCTTTCTGCAGTGTGATTGCAGTTCTTGCTGTTTTGTAGATGAAGGACGCGTTGTTGTAGACGGAGGACGTGTGACTTTCATAAACAAGGCGAGGGTGTAGGATTGGTCGCATCAACGCACAGGCCATTCGAGAACAGGCATCTCCGGTCTTTCGAGAAATGCAACAAATGAGATAAAAGGTCTTAGCACTTGCCGACGAGTAGAGCGATCCCACGCATTCGCAGAGCCAGATGCGTCCAGTTTGACCCCGAGCACACGGATTGTGGATGCAGGAGTGAGGGTTTGGCCGAATAGGCTGAAAAAAATTGACGTCTGCAGGAGGCGACGGTGACCTTGTGTGTTGGTGATACAAATTATTGCAGTCTTTGTGGCAGATAGTGTCAGTTCTATGCATGCAAACCAGTCCAACGCCTTGTCCAGAGCTCCTGCTCGTGTTGCAGGTCTGCATGTTGTGTCCACGCAGTCAAATCATCCGCATGCAAGAGGAAGAAGGCATCTCGAATGCGTATTAGTTTCCACGCGAGGGGCAACAGGGCAAGATTGAAGAGTATCGGGGCCAGCACCGAGCACTACGCTACACACCACTTCATTACAAAGTGTCCCATCCGTTGCTTACCCACTCGGATGCAGAAGGTACGAAATGCAAGAAAATACACCACAAAGTCCTAGACGCGAGGCGGAAGTTGAATTTGTTGCATTATGGCATTGATCGCAGAGTGACTGGCGTTGTTGTAAGCCTTCTCACCGTCCGTGGCGAGAAAGGTTCGAATGCTGCTTGATCATCCCACAAGCACCACGGACGACATATGATGTAGGCAATCTTCATGCCCAGATGTAGTCAAAAACCATTCTGGGCCGGATGGTACGAGGCGTGCTTTTCCAGCCACCAGGAGATGCGCGACGCCAACATGCGTTCAAGAAGCTTACACAACGTACATGTTAGAGCAATCGGCCGAAGATTAGAGAAGTTGCTCGGGTGCTTTCCCGGCTTTGGTTTTGGCACAACTTCTAAATGCTTACACAATTGAGGCAGCTCTCCGGTCTTCTCGACTGCGTTAAGCGTGACCAGCAGCCACTGCAGTGGAGGGCCATCAATGTTATTGAACACCTATTAGGAGATCCCATCTGCTCCTGACGCCTTGCGTACATTTGCCTGGTCAATTGCTTCTTGAAGCCCCATCATCGTGTACGGCTTTGGTATGCCTTCGATGTCTGACGGGCTGGGAGTCACACCAACCTGGGGAAGCAGGTTACACGGAAAGTCATATTGTTCTGGGTGAGGTTGTGGGCTTGGAAGAACGGCTGGACTATTTCTGAAGTGAACTGGCTTGGCGCGCATTCATACGACAGACACGCACTGGCCACTGGGCCCGGCGTACGAGTGCCTAATTCCATGCAGAGCAACGTTCGCCATAATGAGGCGGATTACGACGATGGACTGAGTGACGACATCCACCAGTCCATCCATCGTTCCCGGGCGAGACACATCTCCCAGCGACGCGCTGCAGCGGTCAGTCTATTGAGGTTATCACGAAGCTCAGCGGTCGTCGGATTTCAGTATGAGGGTAGCTCTGTACAACGGCTCGCTGCCCACAGACGCAGAACATGTAAATTTGGAGGTGGTTTGTTCTCCTCTACACAGTGTGTCTGCGTGGCGGCTTGTACAGCAGTAGTTAACACCTGCGATGAATCAGACGATGTATCAGCAATCAAGGCGTTTGGTTCCTTGCGAAATAAGTCCCTGTTGGTTGTGTTGCATCAACGTCAGAGGCGGCGCAGGTTACACGCGGCCACACCGATTATCAACGGATGGTGATCACTTCCCCAGCAGCCAATTTCTGGGTTGCACGAAACGACACACATGCCTAACCAGCAGGAGAGATCAGGCTCATACGGTGGAGCACAGGGATGGTCCCACTGACATGTAGAAGTGGCCAGAGCATTCAGAAGGACAAACTGGGCGTTTTTTAAATGTGTCTACCAGGACCTTTCCTCTAGCACTGGAATAGGGTAGCCCCACGACAGATGAGGTGCATTGAATTATCCCCCAAGTAGCACTGGGAACCTAAGGTAGGTTTGACGCAGGTAAGCCAACCACTACAAATGCGATCGAGGAGCGCTGCCACTATACGGACGCGCGTAAACTGAAACCAAAATCATGTGAGAACTGCCACTACTTCTTACCACTGGTTACACCACGGCCGCAGGCCAACTTGCGTTTCGGGATATGTAGGCACAACATACGCTACCGCCTTGCGGGAAGACCCAGCTCATTGGTGCAGCGTCGATCAGGTATAGTTGGGGTAGCATACGCAACGAATGCAGGGATGCGTGGAAGTGAGTTCACATCCTGTAGAAGCAAGCCCGAAGCAGGGAGCTTCCCCAGCGCAAGGCGATAGCGAAGCTCACCAACTTTATTTGCAAGTCCACGGCAGTTCCACTGCAGGACACAGTGGTGGTGCGTTGCTTTTGAAGGAGTGGTCATTGCAGTGGGAGGTTGGCAAGCAACATTTTTGACAGCTCTTGCAGTTTTTGGGCATCAAATTGGAGAATCTCTGCCGGAGTCCTCTTGACTGGCGCGGACGCACTTGCGGAAGATGATTCAGTAACAGATGCAGCGCACTACACATCTGTACCGCACATCGCAGTTGGTACAGAGGGTTGAGCGAGATGGGTTCTGCGTTGAGCCAAGGGCTCGGCTTTGATTTGAAGCTGCGCTATCTGTTGGTGAGGTTTCGCAAGATTGTCTGTCGTCGTAACACACAATTTAGGAGTGCTCGCAGGAGTGCTCAACAAGTTTTCGCCACCGCTTGACAGCGTCACTGTACGTGGGGGCTTCATAGCAAGCATTGTCAGGTTCTACTATTGCTGGTTTGTCCTCTTCGGAGGGGTACAACAGTTCAATCCGATTGCTAGTCGGAATGTCAGCATCCCTTTCTTTTTGTGTCACTGAACTCTGGTAGCACTTGCTTTGGCGATGGGCTTTAAGAGCCTTCTGTTTAACTAGGCAGTATATGGATGTTATGTCATGATCATCCAATTGGCAGAGCCCGCATTTGTACGTGTGCGTCTCGGCGGACTCCATGGAATTGTCTGCGGGTTGGGGGGAAGATTTTCACATGTCACCGGAACGAAAACACCGATAGCACTTTACCACACCGGGCTTGTACACATAAAATTGCAGGATGCATCCATCGTTCGTAATGCGGCTCGGTAGCGTTCGAGGACATGGGAGAGTGACCAGGCGTGTGCGTTCATGACCAATATAACAACCTGTCATGATTTTGTGAGTAGAGCAGGTCAAGGCAGCGACAAGGCCCTCCCGCGATTCCCCTAGGTCAACTCCAGAAACCACACACCGAAGCAGGTACGAGCCAAAACTCATGTACGCTTGCACTTGCTTGGTACAATCAGCTGTGAATGGTAGAGTTTGCAGTTGGGTTAGGCGGTCAACATTCGCTAGCGAACGCACCCATACGAATGGTGAATAAAGAAACCTCTAAAAGTGGTGGTTTTGAGGCAGGCGTCGAACGCTGACTGAGGGAGGTGATTTGAGATTTTTGATACGTCGAAGCGCTCACGTGGTTTCACGATGCCCTTGTACTTAGACTCGGTGCCAGGCGAGGCAACAGCTGCCAGAGAGGGGCATTTCCGCTTGCGTTCTGGTTTGGTGGCAGCTGACAAATCATCTGCATGTGTTTTTGAGTCAGCCACGCAATTCGTACTGCGTTTCGGAGCAGAGGCTCGTTGTGATGGCTGCATCAGGAGCTCCGCTGCAGCCGTCGATACTGAGTCTCATGAAAAACGCGGGATTATTCCCGCCGCCAGATGCAACCAGGGAGACGCTGGAACTGTCCTGGTGAGCATCTCACGCACAACGTTGAAGTGAACGGCGTCAAGGGTGGTTCGTTCAGTTCTTCGATGATGTCCGGTAGAAAAGAACCTGGGGGCAAACCGACAGCTTCATCTAACGAGTCTGGCTGGTCTGTCCTTAGCCAAGTGGGGCCAGACAGCTGGGCGTCATTGCGTTGAGCCAGGGCGAAGACAGTGCAGGATCGCCGGTGGGGCGATGGTCACGCGAGCCGATGCTATTAGCCGATATTCACGCAACTTCATAACGCGTCCGTTCTAGTTGGCAGCTCAGCAGCGTCTCCCCTTCGTGCTTTCTTCATATTCTTTCTATTTTTATACATGGTTTTGAAGTGTTTCTTCTCCTCAAAATCAATGCGCTTGTAGAAAAGAGAGAAGGCGTCTTCGCGCGAGCGCGAGTGGAGATAGCTATGTTATAGATGGTTTAGTCAGCCTTTCCCCAAGTAATGACCACGGCATATGATCACAGCATTCGACAGCGTATGACAGCCCAGTCCCCACTTAGGATTTCCAGTGCTTCGCCCTTGAAAAAAAAACCACTTAGTCCCATTGTTTCGGTGGCGCAATACAAATTGCACGAGTTGTTGTGAACAGTGTCGTACGTGGTAGTTTTGTTTGACAGCTTAATTAAGGCTGAAGCGTATATTAAATGGTAAATTCTTTTGCATTATTTCCAACAGGCCCTGTGGATTATGAGCAATGGATACGGAGGCACAATGACTTTCAGCTTGAACGCTGACGACTGGCAAGGGAAATGCGGCAACGACACGTTTCCCCTCCAGAAGGCAATTGCGAATACAAGCGATGGCAGCAGCGCACAGGGCTTTCAATTCCACCCTTAAAGATATAACAACCCTGCACATTTAACGATGCTAAGAAGCTCCACTTGGTGCAAGCTTCAATTTGGCAGCTCGGCATTTCTTCCCCTGTTGTTCTTGAGGTACACCAACGCTGGAAGTTTAGACACTAGGCGCTATAATAAAATTATTAATTCCTTGCGTGCAAATATCTTAGATGCTAAAGACAAAGCACGCCCTAGAATTGAACTTATGATTACATGCAAACCAAAAAGCTATGCTTTGTGACGGCATATCTTCCATTCTGATTATTCTCCATGCCCATGAAACAAAACAAGCAATTTAAATAAAGTTTGGACTCTGAAAAAAGTATACTGTGTTCATTTTTTGTTTCTTACGTATGCGAAATTATTCTTCTAGGAACCATAGCGCGTAAACAGCATTCAACAGGATCAAGAAGCACGAAGACCGTTAAGCAATGTTTGGATTTCACAATATGAGTCTAAAGCGTATCGCACGCATACGGTACAAATTCTCGAGGCAGATCAGATGCGCATGCTTCTATTAAAAAAGACGAACAACAGCACCAACAGTATACTGACAAGTTAAGTGCTAAATTTCAGTCTACTGTTGCCGTTTCTGGAGGAATCATTTGTGGGTTTTACACCGATTATACGTGATCACAATACACAAGCGTCTATGCGTTTTGATATGCGAACGCCAGACTGCGTTTTTTGCCCAAGGTAAAACTCCAGCTTTTCTTTCCCCCTACTAACGTTCTCCATACGTGCATTCCAAATCCACAACTTTCACATCAGAAAAAAAAGTCAAGGTGAGTAAGTTACAAAAATATTCATTAAATGTAGAAATTTGTTCGCTTGTTGTCCGGAGAAAAGTCCGGAGGTATCAACACGTGATAAGAAGGGTCCTCCAGAGCACTAAGCTGGTGTAAGCTCGCAAGGTGAGAAGTTTGAAGCCATGCCATTTTAGGAGCGAAGCTCCTTAAAGTGGCACCCATTCGTCCCTCGTAGTCGTAGTCGTCATGTGTAACAAGTGTTACATTTTGTCCTGCAAGGTGGAGCTGGTGGGAGATTTCTCCTGTGCTTTGTTAAACAATAAAAGGTTGGCGGCATGCGCGTTCACTAAATGCCGAATGCTCTTGTTTCTCATTCTCCATTAGCAACCATTACAATATTCCAGTAGGAAACGTTAGAAGAAGTAGATGTGTTAAAAGCCGAATTCTGCTGTCTCTTATTCTCAGTAGCAGCCATTGTTTACCTCCAAGGTAGTGCCTGGTGAGATTTCTCCTGTGCTTGATTAAACAATAAAAATTTTTGTTCAAATTGCCGTTGATTGATGAAATAACCCAACGAAAGACGCCAGATGATTTCTAAAAGCAAAAATAAAAGACGCCAGATGTTTCTAAAGCAAAACAAAGAGAAGACGCCAGCTGCTTGACGAAAGACGCCAGGTGTTTTCTAAAGCAATGGTTTTGTAATCAAAACCATATCAATGCCCCGCCGCGGTGGTCTAGTGACTAAGGTACTCGGCTGCTGACCCGCAGGTCGCGGGTTCGATTCCCGGCTGCGGCGGCTGCATTTCTGATGGAGGCGGAAATGTTGTAGGCCCGTGTGCTCAGATTTGGGTGCACGTTAAAGAACCCCAGGGGGTCAAAATTTCCGGAGCCCTTCACTACGGCGTCTCTCATAATCATATGGTGGTTTTTGGACGTTAAACACCACAAATCAATCTATCAAACCATATCAATACAGCTTTGTAGTTGCCGATGCTCGTTGCCGTCGGCTTGGGCTCGTATGGTACATTGAGCACTATCTGACAGCAAAAGGTTGCTATGTTATACTCGCTGGGCGTAACCTCCTTGGTTTTAAAGGTTTAGCGAGCGTTGAGTCGCAGTGCCATGAATACAGTGAACTAGTATATACCATGAACTCGAGGTGGTTAAAGGTGGGAAGTAGACCCGAAGCGCAAGCCGTAAGAAAGTGTGCGTGTGCCACCTCTCGTTTAAATGCCCGCTGGACGGTGGTGCTTCTATATAGAGAATATATGATGAAAAGATGCGAGATGGTGGTACTCGGAGTGTCGATTAGATGAACGAACGGACACAAGGAAAGATGCATGGATGAACGCATGAACAGACTGAGGGGCGGATGCATGGACAAACGCAGGGACGGACTCACGAATAGACGTACGTACGGACGGGCGGATGGACGCATGGACAGTCACACAGACGGACGCATGGACGGACGCAAGCAAGAACGCATGGACGGAAGAATGCTTCACCCCACTCTCCATCATTCACTCCGTGGATGTGCTGCCAATTTTTTGTGCAGTATGGAGTTTCTAACAGTTACGAAAAAGCCAGGCGAGCTACGACTATTGCAAAGTTGAGAGCTGAGAGACGGTCAGGTGGTATTTGAATATGCTAAATAAGGGGAACAGAACCCTCTTCTCGAGATAGCACAGCCGCCTTGCATGCAATGACAGAACTTTGTTGGAATGCCGATATCGCACATTTCTCAAACGTATAATTTCTTGAAACGCATGATGAAGGACCTGTTTGAGGAATAAAAAAAATGACAGCGCATCTATGGAGTGACAGATGATGAGTGGGTCGAAGCATCCATCAGCCCATCCTTGCTTCCGTCTGTCCGCGCGACCATCCGTGCGTACATTCATGCGTCTGTCTGCCTGCCCATCCGTCCGTCAGTGAGTCCATCCATTCAAGTGTCCTTCTGTTCGTACGTTCTTCTGTTCGTACATCCGCGCGTCCGTCCACCTGTTCTCCATTAGCCTGTTCGTCCGTCCGTGCATCCATCAAGTGAACACTCCAAGCACCCTTATCTCCCATCTCGCATTCCCTGTGGCACACACCCGCTCTACAGCGGGCATCTGCCACCGGTGGCTGCGTATATCAGAGGATGTACTTACCCACGCTTTAACCGTTTACTTGCCAATGTTCCAAAATTGGAACATACGAAACCAAATTTTTTTATTCCTCTCCAATATATCGCATATTAAAATTTTATGTTTACGCATACTCATGTATGCTTGTGAAAAACGTAGCAGTTTTCATTTGTATTTAACCTATGGAGAATCATTAGATAAATTTTTAAAAACGGGCATAATTGGCGCTCCTTGACCACCAGATGTTTGTTGCATTATTCCGCTTGAAAAAGTAGTGTTGCAGAGAGCAAAGCAGAACTAAAATATCGGCAAATAGTTCGGGATCACGCGGCAATACAATGAAAAAAATAACAAAGACAATCTAGTTTTCAGCTTGAGAGTTTTGTGTGGATGTTCCTTTTTTGGATCATTGGCGTTTCACACTGTCGAACGCAGCGTAGACGCGCATGAGCGTTTTGCCTCGTTCTTTTTCTTTTTTTGCCTCGTCTATGGCACCCGCTGGGCGGCACTTGGCAGAAACTTGAACATAAGCTTTCCTGGGCGTCATTTTGAGTTTGCCAGACACGTGGAAAGAGCAGCATTGAAATACAGTGCCTAGCTGCGTCAATCCCTGTGAATGTAAGTAGAAAACTACCTTGCGGCTGGTTTTATTTTTGTAGTACTGTGCTTTACACCGCAATAACTTTCGTTGTGGGTCATGGCACAACGCTTCCTTACTTTGGAGGCAGCAATTGACCTTTTGTTCAGCCTTCCTGTTGACTAACGCGAAGGTGCGTCTGTATGCCCATTGCCGCCTGTTGGAGATGGCAATATAACTGACGAGGAGCACGTGAACGACAACAACTTACCTGTAGTTGTTCCCGATGATGTTTGTGGGCACGTTGAAGTTATGCAGTGCAGCGATGAAGACGTTGATTCGCCTTCTGCATGTTCGAGTCCTGAGCCACGACGAAAGAAACCAGCGGGGCGGCAATTCACTGCTGGAAAAGGACGCAAAGCTTCAACGAACGCTCGGAAAACAAATACTCCAAAGCGCTCCCATACACCTGTATGGGGTGACCATGCCACGTTTGACAAAACACTTCCCAGCGAGAGTCCTCCGTTGTTGCTACAGGCATTTCCTGTTCTTGCAAACATGAGCCCATTTGTGCTGTTCAGCTAAATTATTTCTCCAGAGTATCTGGGTTCACTGGCTGATCTAACTGCAAGATACGCACTCCAAAAGGGGGAAGTGGTGGACGTCACAGGAGCGGACATAGGTCAGTTTTTTGGCCTCTTACTTTTCAGCGGGCACCACTCCGTTCCGTCTGAGGACTCGTATTGGAGCACTGCAGAAGATCTTTGTGTGCCTATAGTCGCGGCAGTGATGGCCCGCAATAGGTTCCGGCAGCTGTAAAGGTTCTTTCATGTTGTTGACAAGACTCAGTTGAAAGCAGGCAAAAAATAAGCAAACTTCAGCCGTTTTACGATGAAATATTCAAATGTTTCCGCTAGTTTAGAGTGTTCAATGAAAGCCTCAGCATCGACGAGTCAATGATGCCCAATTATGGCCACCACTCATGCAAAATGTTTATTCGTGGTAAACCAATTCAATTTGGGTACAAAATATGGATGATGTGCTCTTCGAATGGGTACCCCTATGTGATGGAAATATATTGTGGGAGGAACGAGAAGGAAGACAAGACACCTCTCGGGATCAGGGTTGTTAGCAATATGGTATCGGTCCTGGAAGCGCCTGAACATCACGAAGTCTACTTCGACAACTTTTTCACTTCGCACCGCCTCTTGACGCAACTGACTGACCAGGGGATTTGAGCGACAGGGACTGTGCGAGATACAAGAACCGGTGGTTGTCCACTGATGAGCTTGAAAAACATCGAAAAGGAAGAAAGAGGGTCTTTCCACTACAAGTGTGACGGGGCAGTCTGCGCATGCAGGTGGAATGACAATGCAGTCATCACAGTTTCTTCTAACCACCTCAACCACGAGCCTGTTGGAAGTGCGAAACGCTCCTCACGACGCTCAAACAAAATTATGGACATTCCTCAACCATAATTGATCAGAAAATACAATGAGGGCAGGGGCGGAGTAGATGTGATGGACTGCCTCCTCGGAAGCTATCGACCGAGACTGAGGAGCAAGAAATGGTGGTGGAACCTTTCCAGCAATGGTTTGAACATGGCTGTCGTCGTAGGATGGCTCCTCCACTGCAAGCTTCACAGGGGTAGTGATGCCGCCATGACGCACATCGCCTTTCGGTGGGACGTCACCATGCCCTTGCTGCAGCTCAAGCAGAAACTCACTGTAAGACCTCGACCCCGGGTTCATCCGAGACATGAGGAAAGAAAAACTGATGGCCACTACATCATTTCAACGACTCAAGGAAGGTGCACGGAATGCAAGAAGAATACAACGAATCAGTGTTAGTAGTGCAAAAAATGGCTG